AATTTTTGCCGAGTGGACAAAGACGTGTGCGGCCTAGCATTGTCCTGCTGGAAAATGACACCTTTACGATTGACCAATTCTGGTCGCTTTTCCCTGACCGCTGCATTCAATTTGTCCAGTTGCTAACATTCGCGAATAATAAAAAATAACATAATAATAATAATAACAATAATTTTATAATATAACATTTACGGATATCATAAAAATGGGAGTGAGAGACATCTACAACTGAAATCGACAATTACTTAGTTGCCAGCCCAATATATTCTATTATTTTTGTACTGTAATAATTTTTGAATCACTTTGTTACGCTATTGCAAGTTAGAAATCAAAATTAAAAGCATCAAATAATCTACAACCTGGACATTTCTCTTGCGCGATACAAGAACGTATTCAGAATATTTATAATTCTTTCTAATTCTTTTTAAAATTCTTTTTCTGCTTTGAAAATATCTCCGACGAGATTCATATGAATCGTGAACGCGGCTACAACCAGTGCCGTCAACCCTAATTGAAAGAACCGACGGCGATTCAAAGGCGACGTAGATCGATGAAATCTCTGTGAAACGCTTCATTTGGTAGCACACAGGCGCGGCACTGCGGCCAGGACACGTTATTCGCCGGCGAAATGAATCGCCGGATATGCGGGCGTTTAAATCGCAAGTGTAAACCAGTCCGTCTTTCGCGGAGCTGTTCGCCGCAGATGCTGGAAGTAATAACCGGGAGCAGAGGGATCTAAACTTGCGAACAAGCCCGGCGCGGACAGTTTTGGACCTGACGTGTGTGTGTCTACACTGTCCGTCACGCGACCGACTAATTTGCTACCATTCAACGGAGACGGATTTGTAAACAGGGTCGGAAGAGGAAACGAGGATTGTAGCCCCGCAAAAACGTGATTCGCGGAAAGCGACCCGTCCGCCGAGCCACGAGCGCCGGGGGATCGTTAACAAGCAGAAAATCGCGCCGAGAGAATGTTTTGTAATGTACAGTCAAGACGAAAACGTCGCCATGAAAAACGCATAAATGTCCGTTTAAAAACGCAGCCGCCGTCGCCGACGCCGCGTTGCACGCTCCGGGTAACGGCGCTTTACGAGCTCGAGTAGGGTGGCGGAGCCGGTTACCATGTGTGGTAGCCAATTACTGTGCCTTTCCTTTACTTTCGTGCATAATTAACTTTATATTTATCGCATAAGACATATCGGACAATTTCATTTAAATTCTATCAACTATTTATTTGTGAAAATTAAACATGTAAAAAAGGGAAGTTCTTAAAGTAGGAGAAACATTATTTCGGTTTTTTGATACCAAATTCGCGAAATGATTGTTTATTTAAATTTTTATTTCTAGTTTCCATTCCAGTAGTTTATTTACTGTGCGCGGTAACTGAATCTATTTTTCACTCGATGCGTTAGTCACTGTGCTGTTTACTACGCGATAGGTCTACATAACCTCAAATCTTAAATCATCTCTGTCGGATTTTCAAAGAGGAGAAATGTAAATAGAAAATTTTGTTCAATCAGTCATCTCTAATGCGAACCTGTCAATGACTTATTATTATATTACATTTTTTTATAGAATATAAAATTTATGAAAGCGTGTTAAGTATTTAATTTTTATTGTGTTTAAGATAGTCATACTTTTTAGAACGATTCCACTTTGCAATCTCAGGAAACAGGATACAGCATGACAAATAAACCTGGAACAAAAGTTTCAAAACTCTGTTTTGTAGATCTCGGTGATTTATACATATACATACTGAAAGTTTCAACGATTAACGTTAGTACAACTTACAAACAGTTAAATGAAAGTTGCAGTTTTTTACGGGTTTCAACTAAAGACAAGTAAATCTTACATCGCACAAGTCGCCGAGATCTATAAAACGAATATTTGAAATTTTCGTTCCAAGTTTAGATAAAAAAATTAAATACGACTGCTGTTCATTACTTTTTATGTCATATGAAGTAATAGCAAAATTAGAAAAAAGTATTTCAGTCGTAGTACAGTAAACCAGTCCCTCTAACATTTAAAAATAAAATTAACATCGTTTAGTCCAGTTTGTAAAAAATTATTGCGTTCTAAAAGCTATACGAATACTTTTCGCCAAGCGTTTTAGTACCGGTAACGTAGAAGTGCAACAGATTAAACTTTTAATATACAGAGTGTCCCGAAATTATGGTATTTCCGGGAAATGAGGAATTCCTGAGATGATTTGAAGTAACTTTTTCTTTTACAAAAATGTTCTCCGAGGCATCGTTTACGAGTTATCAACGAAAAACAATGACCAATGAGTAGCCGAGCTCGCCTGGCACTAGGTGTCCGAGCCAAAGAGCGGAACTGGGCTTCGTGCGCTCGTTGGCTGGACCGCCTCGCGCCATCCAAGCTCGCCTCTCATTGGTCCGTGTTTTTTTCGTTAATAATTCGTTAACGATGCCTCGGAGAAAATTTTTGTAAAGGAAAAAGTTGCTTCGATTGACCTCGGTAATCTCTAATTTCCCGGAAGTACCATAATTTTGGTACACCCTGTAGATCAAAGTATAAAACAATGCAGCATAATATCCTGATTTCTCGGCGATATATATCTCGGTAAGACAGGCTCTAATTAAATTTCCGCAGAATAATAATGTGAAAACAGTTCACGGTGCTCCGAGTGTTTACTTTCTACTATCGTGCGCCGACACGGCAAGATGCGGCGTCGTTCCAACTCGGAATCGTGCGTTTCAGGCTTGTTTCGAACTCTACTCTCGCGGAGTTCGTTAATGTCCCGAACAGAACGGACGCGTACTTAACAAAGATTTTTCGGCCTCCAGCGCGCCGAACAACAATCACGCGCCGCTGTGGCTGTCTTACCTAGCAACCGCTTCGCTATATACGAATCCATCGTTCGCTCTCCGAACAACCTCGAAGCATAAATCAGAGCCATCCATACTGAAACAGAAGCGCGCGACATTAACATACAATTTACAAGGCACAACAAGTTGGACTAGGGCATAAACGAGTCCGCCGTACCTCGTTGCGGCCACGCCGCGTGTGTGTTTGAACGAGGTACATACACATTGAAGTGTCGCGAAATTCGACAAAATATGCGGAACACACGAATATACACAGGGTAGTCCGCGAAAACATGGATCACACGAAAAGCGTTTCTTCTACAGAAAAATGTTTCGAACAAAAGTTGTAAGCTATGGAATGATGCATTCGCTGATATAATTAATTTTTTTCTATATTGCTTTTATATCGACGTTTTGAATTTTTTTATCGTAATGTATAAAATTTGACAACACTAATGGGAAGAGTATGTCAGACTAAGTAAAAAGAAACTATAGCTTAGTATTCGATTTTGGACCCTATTATAGCTTTTTTTACTTAGTCTGGCATACTCTTCCCATTAGTATCGTCAATATACTGATTCATAATTTCTTATTCCATATTTCTTTCTTATTTATTTAATATTTTAAATATTTATTTTATTATATTATTTAATATTTGGTAGACGTTCGAATGGCACGATTGAATGTTCCACGTTATAGTTGAAAAGCTCGAGCTGGCCATTATACTTTAATGAAAAAGGAAAATAGCAAGAATATTAATTGCTGCAAAGTGGACATTAAAAATTTTCAAAGTGGTCATTAAATCTCGACGGAAAAGCAGTATAGAAAAGATATGAATTAAAATACAGAAAGATTTTTCTATGGAAGAAACTGTTTTCAAATAACTTGGGTGGCAGATTTTCGTAGGCCATCCTGTATAATAATATTAACACTAGGTTTACGGGACCCGTCAAGTCGATGATTACAAAATTTAACTAAGATTGTGAACATACATCTACAAAGAATTAATTAAATTTTATTTCTTTTGTGCGTATGTATGGTGGAAATCACTAAAAATGTGCATAAACATATTTTTGTTATCTTTAACAAGTAAAAGACAGTGGTTGATTTTAGTACACCGTAAACGTAGCGTTGGAAAGGAAAGCTTTGTTACAATTTTCATCTCCCGAGCAACGGATTTCCAATTCTTTCTTAATTTACAAAAACGTGGCCGACTATGCTATCATATTTCACCGCTTTCGAATATGTATTCTATAAACTCCGGTGTAATTAATTCGACGCTAGTTCAATCGATACGCGGGCACGTGCTGCTTTAGAAAACTGAATGCCATGTAACCGGCGAAAGCAATAAGAGCAGTAGTCGAAACCAATTTTGAAAACGAAATATTAGCGTATCCGAAAGGTTCGTTTCATTCTTGCTGGTCAACGGAATTCATTGCAAATGTATTTGTATCAAATTGAATTTCGGCAGACCTGGGTAATAATAGTTCGACAACTACTACTACTTAATTGATTTTACAAATATATAATAATTCTTAAAATATATACTGTAGAGTAGGAATCTGAAATACTTAATTGATTTTACAAATATATAAAATAAGTTTTAAGATATATATTTTAGAAAATGTACTTGGAATACTCTTAATTGATATTACATATATAAAATTACATATACAGGGTGTCTCAAAAATGTCACGCAATCCGAAAGTAGGAGATTCCTGAGATCATTTGAAGCAACTTTTTCCTTAGCGAAAATGCAATCCGCGGCTTCGTTTACGAGTTATTAACCAAAAACAGTGACCAATCAGAGGCGAGATCATTTGGCGCGAGACTGCCGAGCCAATGAGCAGAACTGGGCTCCGTGCACTCGTTGGCTGGGCCGCCGTGCGCCAGCCGAGCTCGCCTCTTATTGGTCAGTGTTTTTCGTCAATAACTCGTAAACGAAGCCACGGAGAAAATTTTCGCGAAGGAAAAAGTTGCTTCAAATNGTTTTCAAATAACTTGGGTGGCAGATTTTCGTAGGCCATCCTGTATAATAATATTAACACTAGGTTTACGGGACCCGTCAAGTCGATGATTACAAAATTTAACTAAGATTGTGAACATACATCTACAAAGAATTAATTAAATTTTATTTCTTTTGTGCGTATGTATGGTGGAAATCACTAAAAATGTGCATAAACATATTTTTGTTATCTTTAACAAGTAAAAGACAGTGGTTGATTTTAGTACACCGTAAACGTAGCGTTGGAAAGGAAAGCTTTGTTACAATTTTCATCTCCCGAGCAACGGATTTCCAATTCTTTCTTAATTTACAAAAACGTGGCCGACTATGCTATCATATTTCACCGCTTTCGAATATGTATTCTATAAACTCCGGTGTAATTAATTCGACGCTAGTTCAATCGATACGCGGGCACGTGCTGCTTTAGAAAACTGAATGCCATGTAACCGGCGAAAGCAATAAGAGCAGTAGTCGAAACCAATTTTGAAAACGAAATATTAGCGTATCCGAAAGGTTCGTTTCATTCTTGCTGGTCAACGGAATTCATTGCAAATGTATTTGTATCAAATTGAATTTCGGCAGACCTGGGTAATAATAGTTCGACAACTACTACTACTTAATTGATTTTACAAATATATAATAATTCTTAAAATATATACTGTAGAGTAGGAATCTGAAATACTTAATTGATTTTACAAATATATAAAATAAGTTTTAAGATATATATTTTAGAAAATGTACTTGGAATACTCTTAATTGATATTACATATATAAAATTACATATACAGGGTGTCTCAAAAATGTCACGCAATCCGAAAGTAGGAGATTCCTGAGATCATTTGAAGCAACTTTTTCCTTAGCGAAAATGCAATCCGCGGCTTCGTTTACGAGTTATTAACCAAAAACAGTGACCAATCAGAGGCGAGATCATTTGGCGCGAGACTGCCGAGCCAATGAGCAGAACTGGGCTCCGTGCACTCGTTGGCTGGGCCGCCGTGCGCCAGCCGAGCTCGCCTCTTATTGGTCAGTGTTTTTCGTCAATAACTCGTAAACGAAGCCACGGAGAAAATTTTCGCGAAGGAAAAAGTTGCTTCAAATGACCTCAGGAACCTCTCATTTCCGGATTGCGAGACATTTTCGGGACAACCTGTATATATTTACATATAAAAATTACGTATATAGAATAAGTTTTAAGGTATACATTTTACAGTATGAACCCGAAATATTGAAAGAAATATTTTCTCTGTCGCGCGTGAAATGAAACAAAATGTCCTTTATTATATATAAAATTAGAAAAGTTGCTATTATTTGAATTGGATCGATATTATTTTTACTTTTTCCAATAACTGCATTGAAAAATAACGGTTCGAAACGAGCTATTTCAAATAGTTACATCTTATCTTCGTTTCAAATCAAATTTGCCCAGGTCTGACAGACTTCTGGAAATTATAACACCATCGTCGCCGATGGATGATGCATCAACCTCCAAACTGATCTTCCATAATGAAGTAAACTTTTCGCAGAAATCGATGGAAACGCAATTTTCTTCCGCTTACCAACAGAACGTATTCGCGAAAACAAAAATGAACAAATTCGACGGCCGCGTGTTCGCAAATTACTTCGAAGCTGGAATAACGGCGATTCGACGTGGCGATACTTACTATTCGAACACCATGTAGAGCATACCCTCTGAACTGTAAGTTTCGAGCAACTCTACAATGTGGGGGTGTTTCAACATGTGGCATATCGTCGCCTCCCGCTTCAGATCTGCAGCAAGCGTTATAAAACCTTTATTTTCGCGGCGACTGCTGCGAGACGCGCGCGGCTTTCTTTTTCGACGGTACGTATGACGAACCTTAACGTGATCATAGACAATGATACGGCCGGGATCAATTGTGCGCGCGCACCTGGAACGAGGGGTAAATATTTTCGTAACCTCCGGGTTCGTTTACGTTTGCCCGACGATATTCTCCGGAGGCGCGTTGTTCCCAACTTTGCGTTCCGTTTGTTAATTAATGACACAGCAAAATGTCCGTAATACATATTTGCGGAACCGACGAATATGTACATAACTGCTCGAATGGAATCGTGGCCATGCTTTTAAAGAGAAAATTTGAATGTCGAAAGGAGATTTGTTACGATCCGAGCAATTCGAAGGAGACGTCGGTCGATAGAGTTTAGTGAAGATCATAACACGTTATAACTTAAATAGTATTTAATTATTTAATAAGTGGTTATTATGACTATGAGTTATTATGTTATTTATTATATTACTTACATTATACTAGTTCTGTCTCTTATACACATCTATTACACAAATAATAAATAAATTATAATTATATAATTATAATTTATTTATTATTTGTGTAATTTATATTTATTAATTCCATTGTCCATTTTTATGTAATTTATTTATTAATATAATTATATAATTATAATTTATTTATTATTTGTGTAATTTATATTTATTAATTCCATTGTCCATTTTTATGTAATTTATTTATTAATATAATTATATAATTATAATTTATTTATTATTTGTGTAATTTATATTTATTAATTCCATTGTCCATTTTTATGTAATTTATTTATTAATATAATTATATAATTATAATTTATTTATTATTTGTGTAATTTATATTTATTAATTCCATTGTCCATTTTTATGTAATTTATTTATTAATATAATTATATAATTATAATTTATTTATTATTTGTGTAATTTATATTTATTAATTCCATTGTCCATTTTTATGTAATTTATTTATTAATATAATTATATAATTATAATTTATTTATTATTTGTGTAATTTATATTTATTAATTCCATTGTCCATTTTTATGTAATTTATTTATTAATATAATTATATAATTATAATTTATTTATTATTTGTGTAATTTATATTTATTAATTCCATTGTCCATTTTTATGTAATTTATTTATTAATATAATTATATAATTATAATTTATTTATTATTTGTGTAATTTATATTTATTAATTCCATTGTCCATTTTTATGTAATTTATTTATTAATATAATTATATAATTATAATTTATTTATTATTTGTGTAATTTATATTTATTAATTCCATTGTCCATTTTTATGTAATTTATTTATTAATATAATTATATAATTATAATTTATTTATTATTTGTGTAATTTATATTTATTAATTCCATTGTCCATTTTTATGTAATTTATTTATTAATATAATTATATAATTATAATTTATTTATTATTTGTGTAATTTATATTTATTAATTCCATTGTCCATTTTTATGTAATTTATTTATTAATATAATTATATAATTATAATTTATTTATTATTTGTGTAATTTATATTTATTAATTCCATTGTCCATTTTTATGTAATTTATTTATTAATATAATTATATAATTATAATTTATTTATTATTTGTGTAATTTATATTTATTAATTCCATTGTCCATTTTTATGTAATTTATTTATTAATATAATTATATAATTATAATTTATTTATTATTTGTGTAATTTATATTTATTAATTCCATTGTCCATTTTTATGTAATTTATTTATTAATATAATTATATAATTATAATTTATTTATTATTTGTGTAATTTATATTTATTAATTCCATTGTCCATTTTTATGTAATTTATTTATTAATATAATTATATAATTATAATTTATTTATTATTTGTGTAATTTATATTTATTAATTCCATTGTCCATTTTTATGTAATTTATTTATTAATATAATTATATAATTATAATTTATTTATTATTTGTGTAATTTATATTTATTAATTTCATTAGCAATTTTTAAGGCTAAATCCAGCAAGTATTGAAACTTATTCAAATGTTTCGCCAATTTTACCATGATGTATGCTCGAATTAAGAAATCTATCCGATCATTTTCTACGAACGTGTCTCCACAGTTTTGGCAATTCAAACAAACTGAATGTCAACTAAGCTTTCTAAAATTCGAAAGAGTTAAAGTTACAGTTGTTACGGTCAATTTGAACTACAATCCTGGGTTTCGGTATCATGAATTAACAGACATCGACGTTCCGGGACTTCTTGTCATCGATATTCGGCGCTTAACGTGTCAACAAGCGCGATAACGCGGCTGATCGGATAGCACTATCATAGAATTTTGCTTCTCGCCGATTCCGTGACGTGTGGAGAGCGTCCACAAATTTACGTTGCAACAATGACGCATTTTCATAGTACATATTATTAACCCTTAAAACGACGTAGCTCCTCTTTGCTTATTATTAGAAATACGCGTCTCTTAGACACCTAGGTGTACAAAAAGGACAATATTTATTATTAGACATGTAAAAATATACGCGACGAGTGCTCGCTCGCGGTGCTAGGCACACAATGATCTTCTTTCGCGGGCACGAGCGAATTATGTATTCACGATCATCCCATTAAACGTTCGTCATAAATACCGTTGTTCAGGACTCGGTGTGTACCACATTGTACACAGAGCGAGGGAACGCTTGTTCGGCCGTGAGTTAAACGCGCGTCCACAATGGCAACGCGTTGCGCCACACGTATATTTGTAGGAAAGCGAAGATATTCTTACTTTTCTTTTCCTATTTATAGACCGCGCGTATGGTACTATTGCGATCAATGAGAAGAGATTTCATATATGCACATTGTCGCGTATTTATATAACAGTTAGTGCGACGTTTTATGAAAGAATCTCTCTCGGGACCGTAAATCGATATATGCAATTGCCGCGGGAAAAAAGCTCCTTTAAGAGGGTATTCTAGCGCGAATCTTCGAAAAAATCGATTTCTCTTTTCTCCGAGGTGTCGTCATTTTTTAATTATCTTCGACGTTTTTTTCATTAATTTTTCTCTTGTTATAGTACCCGCTACTCGTGCTAATCAACGCTAGAACTACCAGCAGGACCAGTCGAAATGACTGGTTTTACAATTTCATTTTACAACTCTTACTTCGCGTTACATTTTTTGTCCGCAATGTTGCTAAAGTTGTATCACGGCGACTTACACCGATACCGATCATCTTGGCTGGTACTTCTCAAAGTGGAAAAGTATCCTATAATCTGCTTTAACCTTTTAGGTACGGCTGAATTCTGCGCGAGGCTATTTCTCTGGACGACAGAGTCTGATATGTACTGTACAAAGTCTGATACTATATATTCTGTCTGTATATACAGGATGCCCCAAAAATGCCTCGCAATCCGAAAGTGGCGGGTTCCTCAGGCCATTTGAAGCAACTTCTTCCTTTACAAAAATTTTCTCCGAGACACCGTTAAAGAGTTATTAACGAAAAACAGTGACCAATGAGAGGCGAGCTCGGCTGGCGCGAGGCGATCGAGCCAATGAGCGGAACTGGACTTCGCGCGCTGGTTGGCTGGGCCGCCTCGCGTCAGTCGTACTCGATTCTTATTGGTCCCTGTTTTTCGTTAATAACTCGTTAACGGTGCCTCGGAGAACATTTTTGTAAAGGAAGAAGTTGCTTCAAATGATCCGAGGAACCCGCCATTTCCGGATTGCGATACATTTTTGTGACACCCCGTAGACTGTTGTAAATTGATGTGAATACAAAAGAAGTGTGAAACAATGCATATGAAGACGATTATTTGGTTCAAACGATGAGCGAGTGAACTACTAGAGCAAGCCACTATAGTGGCGCGTCGTCCAGAGAGATGACATCCGCGAAAACTACTATAGTGGTGTGTCGTTCTGAAAGATGACATCCGCGAAAGCCGCTATAGTGGCGCGTCGTACCTAAAAGGTTAACGAACTCGAAATCATGCGTTAGATATTTAGATTGATTTATCGATATTTCGTTATGAAATTTGATCGCATGCAAGGTCTTACGTGGCGCGGAAACGTAAACATAAACATAGCTGTGATGTAACGTAAGTAACGTACTGTCCGGTGTTCAGAACTCAGTCGTTTCGGCAGAAAGGCAAGGAGGGTATTCCGCTTCCTCCGTCTCGCTTGCCCGTAGTCACCGTTTTTCTATGACCTCGCGAAACCCACTTCTATTGGAAGATCGGTCGCCCGCTCCACCCAACCACGTTTCTTGCTCAGCGTGTAACTTAGCCAATAATAATCAGAAGTCTGAAAATTGGAAGAGGCTGGGTGGAGCGAGCGATCGATTCCCCTCGCCCCTTGCGTCATTCAGTTTGTGGATAGTGTTTCATTTTCTCGTTTCCTAATATGTATAACCTTTAGATTCTTAACACGTTGAATGACACGGGGGTCACCGGTGACCGGCACTTAACTTGGCGGTGACGCCATGGGGGCCACCGGTGACCGGCGCGCCCAAATTGATAATTTTATTTTGAAAGTGGCATAAGTCACTTTTTCAAAAAAATCGAGTTAATGGTAACACTAATTACAATTGAACGGTATCTTTTCATTTTAAAAAAATTTGCAATCAATAAGTTGAGAACTATTGAGATTTGTCCGAGAGAAGTTTTGCTAATTAACGGTATAACAAACATGTTTATTTTGAAAGTGGCGTAAGTCGCTGTACTCAGGAAATTAATTGCGGGGCTTAGTGTAAAATAAATAGAAACGTGTGATAAGTGTGTGTGAAGTATTGTTTTGAATTATTTTCAGTATTTTTAAAAAAGTTGTGATCACTGGACTTATTTTTATAAGTGCGAAAGAATAGTGCAGTTTTGTAAATTATATTATAGTGATAATAATAATAATATAATAATATAATAGAAATGAATCCGTTATACGCTGGATCTCGTCCTGTTTCTTCAGCAAAA